GACTTCCGACTAATATTTATTTAACAAGACACCACCTTTTTTGAGGAGGGATTTTGCTGCAAACATGAAGTAGAGGTGGAAAACTATAAACACAGATTATGGGGAGAGATCGTACTTCACGCGGACTAGCATGGTCATAGATTCCGATTTGTTCCACTGGAAGCAACCACAACGACGTATTCTGCACCTGAGACACCTTTTGTAGGTTAATCAAAGTACTTATTAGCGGAATGAATGAATGAGATACCCGTTAAAGTGGTAGATGACTTGGCATGGGGGAGGACTTAAATGGTTGCACGTGCTTGTGGGGCGCACTTCCATGGAGTAGATGGTGAGACCATTGGCTTCTACCTACGGTTTTGTATTATCTATTAGCAAAGTTCCTTCGCGTGATGATGCAACCGTAAACCAATGGATCTACCGCTTTAAGTTTATCTACCTGGCTTCATTTTGGCACAAACTTTATATCGAGCTGCGGATGCAGAAGTAAGGGATGGTTATAACAGAAATTAACTTTTTGTTAGAGGATGGATAATTCAGTCATGTATTCATCGGAGCCTTAAGAAGCAACCAAGGAAGATTGGGCAGTGGTAATTTAAAAATCGGACTGTTCGGACAATGCATAAAATTTATACAAACCCTTGCAACTTTCTTACGTATATTTAAACAGCGAAACGAAAACCACGGCTGTAAGGCTGTTTTATTTGATAACCTGATGTCTGGCAGTCACTTTCGAAATTCGGGTCAAGACAAGGTCCAACTCCCTCTTTTGTCCCTAGAATACACGTATTCAGCACAATCTAATGCCTGTTCCCACCTTATGAAAAGCTCGAGGCACTGAAATTGCAGCAACCAGGTATAAATTGTGTGCGTACACGGTTCTGGCTGCCTGCCTACCTTCTGGCCCTTGAACCTCAGACTTCAGAAGAGGGTTGGTTGCGGATGAATTATTTGGCATTTGTTACAGGAGGAATGAGAATTGGGTTGCAGATGAGCAGAATACGAGATATCAACTGGAGAGAGACTCCCCAACGTCTTCGCGCACGTGATCCGCGTTCTCAATTAATTCCCGCTTCTCTCCTCTAAAAGTCACTGAAATAAACTAGTATATATTATACAAGCAAGAAACCAGTCTCTTCCGGATATCTTGTAAGCGGGGAGACCGCATATTATGGATTACATTTACACAAAGTCAAACATTTATGTTTTATGTTTGTACCTCCTTTCAGGTGGCAGCTAGACGACTTGATCCTCAAGACGGAAGCGAAATCTCAGTAATAAATAAGTGGCTTCGCACGTAATCCTGCCGCATTCGTACTAAAAAATTTTCCCTTACTTAGCAAACGAAAGTAAAGGAAAAGAGATCAAAAAGCAAAACTATTGGCAACTGATCACAGCCAGGAAATGTAAAAACAACTTAGGTAATTGCTTGCCCAATGTCATTTATAGCAAAGATAAAGCACGTAACAAAAATTTTAAAAGCGTATTTTTGTTAAACTACAAAGTATCACAACTTTAACACTAATCTACATAGATTCTACAAGCTCAAAGGGAATGTTGAACCTTTTTTTAAGACGTAGATTTTCAACATTGCAGCCTAATCCGCTACACAACTAGCCCGATAAGTCACAAAATGGCCTTGAAAGGGAAGAAAGGCATGTTTCCTTCTGCTTATTAATTTTGTATTTGTACTGTAGGTCGAAATGTAACGAAGGAGGAATTGATGATGATGACAATATCAGAGATATTAGCTGAGTTATTAGAAGCCGTCAAGGACCATAGAGACATTAATTTAAATAAGTAATTCGAATTCCGATACAGTCTTAGATTGAAAACCTCAATATCGCAGAAGTATGGGTTATCCTCGCAACCTCGCCTCACAGATATAATTGCAGCTGTTCCACCGCAGCATAGAGACGTACGGCTGTGATTTCTAAAGGACCATCGTCATAGATTCTCCTGCCAAAATTGAAGGCTAAGCCAGTTCGTTCAGCCAGTGGAGTATGTGATCGTCAAACTACCTCATTCTCTAGATTGTTGTTGTGGCTGTAATGTGTAAACCCCACAGGTGTCCTCATATAGCAATGACTGGCAACGTTTGTGTGTAGGCCTGCCCACGATTTACTTGACTTTTCTTATAGGTACTGTCCAGGTGGACCCGACTCCGATTTCGAATACTCGACACAGTCCTACACTGGTTATGAGGTGCGTAAGGCTTTTTCCTCTCCCACTTTTAGCCTACCTCCATGCGCGCTATTCGAGCAAGATACGATCCCTACGTTCAAACGCGCCATCGAATTGAACAGGTTTGCTTATACTAATTGCACTGATACTTTACCAGTTGGAGAAACTTGGTCACTCGTGTGACAAAGTTGAGTTCATTGTAATGGGTGGTACGTTTATGTGCCTTCCCGAGGACTATCGTGATTACTTTATCAGGTGGGCAAAAATGCGTTTTCGCTGTTTACGGATTTGTAGGAACCTTCACGATGCTCTGTCTGGACATTCCTCAAAAAGCGTTGCAGAAGCTGTTTAGTAATTCAAGTGTGCATTATGTTCATTTTTTAGTTATTCAGAAAGAAGCAAGACTAAGTGTATTGGAATAACCATCGAGACAAGGCCTGATTATTGTCTGAAAAAGCACCTTGGGTAGAGCCGTTACGTTGACAGCTTTCATTTTTTTTTTTCAAGAGAGATGCTGAACTACGGATGTACTCGTCTCGAAATCGGAGTTCAAAGCGTTTACGAAGATGTCGCACGCGATACAAATAGGTTGGGTCAAACTATTTGTGCAAATTTTTCTCTTCAGAGGTCACACCGTCAATGCAGTATGTGAGTCCTTCCATCTATCAAAAGACGCTGGGTTCAAGGTCATCGCTCACATGATGCCGGATCTACCGAACGTTGGATGGGAGCGCGATTTGGCACAGTTTTCGGAATACTTTGAGAATCCCGCGTTTAGATCCGACGGTTTGAAGATCTACCCTACCCTGGTTATTCGTGGTACTGGATTGTACGAACTCTGGCGAACTGGTAGATACAAAAGTTACTCGCCAACCATGCTCATCGATCTGATTGCCAGAATACTTGCACTGGTTCCGCCATGGACCCGTGTCTATCGCATTCAGAGGGACATTCCGATGCCACTGGTGACAAGCGGCGTTGAGCACGGAAACCTAAGAGAGCTTGCTCTTGCACGGATGGATGAGTTAGGAGCAAAGTGCCGTGACGTACGAACCCGAGAGGTGGGAATTCAGGAGATTCACAAGCGAGTTCGCCCATCGCAGGTACTTCACCTCCTCTAGCATTCATATAAAAGGCCTGAAATAGCTATTAAATAGGCGGATTTCTCCGGGCTCGTCTTTTTGCAACGGAGTCCTCCTAACTTTCATTGCGCAGGCTACCTGAAACCCTGCCATTGGGGTGGTATAGGCGCTATTCCGCTACTCGAGTCCAAGCAAATTCCAAAGGCTTAAATGCTAAGGCTCACAAATAGAACGCAAACTAATGCTGATCTGGACGCCATGAGCTCCAGAGCATTGCGTCTGACGCGTTTATTAGCCTCCTCGCTCTAAACTTAATTCATTCCTAGTTATTTATGGATTCGGGAATAACTTTAATATAAAATCCTCAGTGTTGACAACTACCCAACATAGACGTGGTCAGGACTCCGTGTTGCCGTAACCATCTTAATCCCAACGGGACCC